GATATATTTCTTAACTTTGCGATAACTAGAGCTGATATATTTCTTGTTACAAAAGTGTGGTTATATTAGGGGTGTATGCAGGATGGGATTACCGGATTTATGTGAGTCCATAATCTCCTCCGGAAATCAAATATAGTAGTGTTATATTTTTAAAAAAAATATTTAAATATGGATGTTTGAACCCACGTTTAAAGTATCATATAATGTCGTGCAATGTTGGGTGTTCCTGTCTAAGGAGACAGGAAGGTTAGAAATTTGATTATTTTAACTATATCTTGTTTATTTTTATTTCTAAATTTGGGTCACACCTCTCTAAGTGGTTTGGATATATAGATAAAATTTAATTTTGGACCTATAATTTTAAAATTTTAATAATTTCCAGTAATAAGAACTTAAATGTCAAACTGATCAAATTTATATCTTAGATCTACCTTTTCATTATAGTGCACCCATCATCTCAAATTCTTAAATACTTCTCCTGTTCATATATATATACCTTTAACATTACACAAATAACTCATGTTCAGTCAAATTAGTTGACTAGACTTTTTAATTATACAGAAATATAAATATTTAGTCGACTTTTGCGGTATAAGATAATTTAATGATATTTTCCTATAAAAGTTAAATTTAATGACTTTTAAGCATAATCACGTTGAGTGATTTTTCTTTATGTCTGAAATTAATTCAATAAGTTTGGTGCAAATCGAATGAAATGACTGATTTTGGAGAAACAAAAGAGAGATAGAAAGTAAGAAGATGTTGAAGCAATGATGCATGTATAGAGATGGTGACAAAAGAGCCAGCACATAATGACTTTAGCAAGTTAAAACACGAAAGGTTTTCCCTCAAAACCATGCAAGAATTATGGGACTGACTTTTCTTGATTTCTACGTCATTTTTATTTGTCCACTTTACTATTTTGGGATATATAATAATAGTATTTGTTCAATTTATAAAATCAATGAATAATTTAGCATATTTTGTTTGTTCTACCCTTTCTATTAAATACTATTCATTGCACAATAATTATACGACTTTTTAAAAAAGAAAGGGTGATTTGGTAAAATTATCTCTATTATTTACTGATTCTTAATTCTTGTATGACTGTGTCAAGTCAATAGTGGACAACTAATGTTGAACAGAGAGAGTATATAAAAAAAAATACTCCTCCGTTCTAATTTATATGAGGTAGTTTGATTTAGCACGAAATTTAAGAAAGAGAAAATGACTTGATATTTGTGGTCTAAAATAAGTCATAAATATTTGTGTGACTATAAATTATTTTATTAAGGCTAAAATAAATATTTTAAAATTAAATTATTACTATATATAAAATTGTGTTATTCTTTTTTAAAATGACTAAAAAGAAAGAGTGAATCATGACATGACAGAGCTATTAAGTATATATATATATATATATATATATATATATATATAGCTCAGCCTCAACTCCTCCCATTAATTATTGAGTTGAAGTTTTGATGGGAGAAGGAAGGAAATTCATCAGTCCAAACAAGGTAGTATATTGGGACTGATCTTTGCTGCTGAATCATTGGTTCATCACCATATCTCTATACAACCACAAGGATATATGTTGTTGCACCAATGATGCAGGAGCTGAGTTCAGTTTTGGCTACCTTTTCTTGGACTGAAGGGTTTCCTTCTCAACCCCAACCATGCATCGTGCTCGATATCGCAGGTTTTAGATTTGATAGGTTCAATCATTCATTATCTTCTTAACACTTTTTCTTTTACAAATATCAATGTGAGTAAACTATCTTTTTTAGTTTTATAGATTCTAGTTGGACTAGTCTATCCTTTCCTATGTTGCATTAAAAGAAAGGACCTCATTAGGGACGAGTGTCTTCTCTTGGGTGGGAATGAATGAAAAAATATTTTATTGTCTCATATTGAATTTGAAATTTAAGAAACATTCTCCCTTCCCTAGTGCTTTTTTTTTATATAACTGAGCGGCCTTCATTAGAAGTTTTGGCTCAGATATAACACATAAAAACTCTCAGATTCGCTAACTTTATGAGGTTTAACCTTTGCCATGAAAATTATGTATTTGGAATTTCATAGTTTTGGTTACTAAGTGATTTTTTTGGATGTACATCAAAGTTCCATGTTAAGAAAATATAGATTTCAACTGTGAAACTCATACTTACCATCATTATCAAGATTGAAGCGTTATGAGTCTCTAATTTTCCTCCTTTTACTTTCTGATCATATGCATTACGATATGTTTTATGCTAATTTATTTATTTTTTCTTATGTATAGTTACTATTGGTGATGCTGGCTGCTGCCACATATAAGGATCATTGACTGATATATACAAATTAATGAGTTCGGCTCTAATACGGACACTTTTTGAACGGTATAGATCAAAGGGACCCTCCCTAAAATCACATATCAAAATGGACACTTCGCCCATTTATAGGCGAACTATCTTTAAAATTTTTGTGATGTATTTTGTGTTTTGGAGTGAATTAACAAAAGTTAACTTTATTTATTATAATTATGGGTGAAGTGCCCATTTTAGTCTGTATTTTTAAGGAGAATCCCTTTTAATCTGTAGCGTCCAAAAAGTGTTAGTTTTTGAGATCAGACTCCAAATAACCCTTATCTGCATTTTTAACAATTCATATGCATATAGGTTATATTAAAGTTTACAAGTGCATTCTTTTCTTTTTTTTTTGGTTTCCCATCCAATGTTCGGTATCCATATTAGAGCCCGACTAAATCCGGATTAGCGCCGGGAAGTCCCACAGGGGTAAAGACAAGTGCATTCTAATTATAGTACACCCAAGCAATTAACAAAGGCAATAGGAACTGGCCTCTTTTTCTTCTTTTGTTTCGTTTGGAGTATCAGTTTCACTTGACATTAATAACTAACTAAAAATAATAATAATAATTTTTTAGGTGATTTTACCCCTCTAAATTTTTATCCTATTTTAAAGTTTTACTTCTTATGCTGTTAAGGTATCGAAATATGCTGAGACGTCTTGTAATTTTTTTATTTCAATTTTACACAAGTGCCTAGTGTTTACAAATATAATCCTACCACAACTCTATTTTGATACGTTTGCATTAACTAGACCGAGAAATATTGCGAAGAGAAATAAATACACAAGATAACAATAAGAACCTTTGTTGCTGACTAAATATAGAATTTTCGCGGTCAAATGTGAATAGAAATTTTATAGTCGAACGGATAACTTAATCTTGTAAGGTACAAGCAGTCATGTGCCTTGCAAGGCACATTCATTAATGTGTTAATGCTCATGGTCCCTACAATGTTGTCCTTTTGGTTTCATACAAAAATTGCATGTCTTTTTGAAATTTTTAATCAATTTTATTGCCCTTTTCGCTCCGAACTCTTTAATAAAGTGTATTAAGAAAAATAATGCATATAACAGTTTTATGTATTACTAATACTTTGTTTGATGCACTTTTTTAACTTATATATAACTAATGCTTACTCACATATACTCTATTTTATATTATAAAAATGTATAACTAAAATACATGAAAATCCATAGTATTAGTAACGCAAACGATTTTATAAATGCATTAGCATGTTAAAAACACAATTGCCCCTCAAAACCTTTTCCATAGAGGTGTACAAAATCGAACCGAAAATCGAACCAAACCGCAAACCGAGTCAAACCGGAAAAAAAACCCGACTAGTGGTTTGGTTTGACTTGGTTTGGTATTGAAAAAAAAAGCCGACTATATTTGGTTTGGTTTGGTTTTAACTAAAAAAAAAACAACCCGACATTATATATGTAATTTTAAATTTTATTTTATACATAAAAATATTTACTTTGATATAATTTTAAAATATTTCTTGTACTATTTCATAGTTTTTATCTTTTAATCTATTATTTCAAGTTTAAACTTAGAATTCGGAATGGTCGAATTAAGATTATAGTTCATAGATGTTGATAATTATAACAAAACTTAAATCAAAATCAAATTAATACTATGCAAAAAGAAAATCAATTCAACACTAAGAATGACAATAATATTGAATATTTGTTCTTTAGTTTTACATTGGTTTAGACAATTAAAATATATAATCTAATTTGAATTTTCCTTAAATATTTAGTAATGTAACTAATACTTATTAAACTTATAATTTTAGCATGATTTAGTACTTTTAAATTATGATAATTTTCATTATGACTTTGCAATATTTATTTTATATAATGATTTTATTATTATTTTTTATTGAATATTTTTGTGTTATCAGTACTCATATCATATTTTGTGTTATTTTTTTAAGAAACACCTTAGATAATTATATTTTGGTTGGACTAAAGAAATATTTTGAAGTACAAGTTAATTATATGTTTGTTTGCAAACTTTACTGAAAAATTTCAAAAATCTGAAAAAATCCAAGGTATATTATTTTGGTTTGATTTATAAATTTAAAAATTTCGACACAATGGTTTGATTTGGTATTTGAAAAATCCGAACCAACCCGAGATTGAAAAACCCAAAAAAATCTGAATTTTATTAGTTTGGTTTGGTCTATAAATTTAAAATTTTTACACAAATGGTTTGGTTTGATATTTGAAAAACCCGAGTCAATCCGATCATGTACACCCCTACTTTTCCATATCCTTTCTAGTTTCCTCCATCCATATTTGTGGAGGGTATTTTTATAAACAAATATTTTTTATTAGAAAGTATGCAATGCATGTAATTTTTAAAATACACCAAACCAAACACTGCATAGAGAAATCATTTTAACATAACTAATGCAAATATAACTAATACAAGCATAACTAATATCATCATTATTAATACAACATATTCAACACTATTCTTATGCACCTTACCAAACGACTACTAAATATATAGACACAACCTTAACTTCCATTTTCTTTTAAAGAAATAAAATTAACAAATGTAAACTACACATAAAAATTCAAAGAAAAAGAAGTTAAAATTTATATAACATAAGCTAACAATATTCAACAAAGTTTGGCAAAAAGAACATGGCACACACCCAGAAAGTTGCCTCAATCATTAATTCAGGCTTGACCAAAAAAACTCTCCACTTTTTCTTCTTATTTTGTTCACATTTGAACTCCTCAAGCAGAATTTTCTCAAGCAAGGTAACAACTAACACTTAACCAAAACCCAAATGTAAAATTTTACATCCAAGCCTATGCTAAAGCTACAGTATAACAATGTTCCTAACTAAGAAGCAGCAGTACTTGCATACAACACGGTGAAAAATATTTCTATTTCCGGTATGTCTTGGATAACTTGGATATACCTGTTTCTATTGGGTTCTTCGAGTAGGATCTGATCCATGTGAGCGATTCGTGGAAGAAGTTTAGCTAATGGCATACCTGATGTTAAATTGGCATCACCACATAAGACACTTATGTCTTCCATCAGTACATCCACAGCTGCTTTTAGTAATATGTCTACGATATTCCTGAATTCGGTACTGCCCAACAAAAAGTTGGACTGTCAGTATATTACTAACAAATTTACCACAAAGGCACAAGCCAAGAAGATTAATATTGAAATGGAATGTAGGAGAAACTTAAAACATTGAATATTTTCCTTAGTTTTTGAGTTCAGCCGCTTTACAGGGGGCATGAGGGCTAGCTGAAAGAAGGGAAATTCATTTGATATTATTCATGATAAAATCAGCTTAAGAAGATGCAAATTTTACATCAGCTCCTTCCATTCTTTATGATAATGATAAAAATGTATACATGAAAACTACTTCACTATGCCGTGCTCCAGAGCAAGTTACCTGTTATGAAGTAGTCTTTTCACATAACTTCCAGAAAGTAGCATTTTTCACATGATCGATCATGCTAACTAGTGCAGTAAAGAAACTTATATTTGACTCACAACATAATGATGAACTTAAATTACCTTAGTGAATGTTAAAATGCTAAACACAGGTATAGCAAAAAAAGTGTGTACCTTGACAACACTGCTCGTGTCTCCAGCATAAGTTGTTCAAATTTGGATGCATTAGACAGATCTGTGCTGCCAGTGCTCGAGCTTACACCTAAGTTATTTCGCTTAGAGTCCTCTGGCATCAGAAAACTCAGCCAGTGATGAGGACTTCCTGTGCTCATGAAGGTGTTCAATATCTGAATAATAGTATCATGAAGTACAGTAGAGTTGAAGAAATCCTTCAGCTGTTTTCTGCAAATTAGAAGTTCTGAGTTGAATATAAAGATCTTTCAGGCAAGATATATAGCTTTCAGATATACATGTGGACGTGGTGGATAAAACAAAGAGTAATCTGCACATATTTTTGGTTCAAGAAGAAGGGTTAAATGTCCCTTTCTATTAGCTCTAAATCTCTCTAAGTTTTAATGATGACACTTAACTTATTTGCAGGTCACGATGGAAAGTTCAATCAAGGATGCAAATCAAGTCGAGAGGACTTGAACCCCAATTCAAGGAGATTACATTCCCAAAAATACAACGGGAGCGAATCACAAAGGACCAATCAAATCAATCCAGCAGGGAAAATCAAATCGTCCTAATTCTGGAAGAGAACACATCAGCAGGGATATCAGCGTCCAGTCAAATCCTCTAATTTTGGAAAGAAGAAAATCAGCCAGCTACGAGAAATGGCATCCAGAGAATATGCAAGGATTGGTGCGCACCATGTCATCAACACCGACACTAATCAAGATCTCAATCATGAAATCTCATCTCGTGTGATTGGGAGAATCCCTTGGGTTACCTTAGAGCAATCAGCAAGGATATCAAAGGAATGATCTCCTTCAAGATTGAAGACCTTGCAGAAGCCTTTATAAAGAAGACCACATCAAGTGTAGATACACACAACTTCACTTGAGCAATCCAAATTACTTCTATTTGTTACTAAAGCACTGTACTAGCTTATCAGTGTAAACAAAAGAAAGAAGAAAATAGGTAGCTGTACGGGTAGAAGGCTCTGGCACAAAAGCATAACTGACCTCACATCAGTTCAAGAGAGATTCTACACAATCATCTTGACACTATGTAATCAAGTTACCAAGCCAAGGGAACTGAACTAGGCACCACATTGGTGATCCGAACCAGTATAAATCTCTGTGTCATTTATTACTTATTTCATTACTTGCATTTTTATTTATTTGCTTTGCTTCACTAACTCTCATCGAAGGAACATAGTCGATTCCCAATAAGTACGAGTCGACTACTAAATCTCCTTCAAATTAATAAGCAGTCAATTCAACCCCCCACCCTACCCTGTAAGAAGTTGGTCTCCTTATATGGACTGGGACAAACCTCCCCTCATGAGCTAGCTTTTGGGGTTGAGTTAGGCTTATGTGCCATATATTTACATAGTATCAGAGTCAAACTCATCCCAATTTGTTCTTCACCGATGTTGGGCCCCCATTTAGAAGTGTTCATGCTCCAGTTGAGGTCTGGGCATGAGGGAGAGTGTTAAGAAGTCCCACATCGATAGAGGGATGTGAAATTGGTCTCCTTATATGGACTTTGGACTTGGACAAACCTCCCCTCATGAGCTAGTTTTTGGGGTTGAGTTAGACTTAGGTGTCATATCTTTACGTAGTATCAGAGCCAAGCCCATCCCAATTTGTTCTTCACCGATGTTGAGCCCCCATTTAGAAGTGTTCACGCTCCAGTTGAGGTCTGGGCGTGAGGGAGAGTGTTAAGAAGTCCCACATCGGTAGAGGGATGGGAAATTAGTCTCCTACTTTGATACCATGTTAAATTAGGTCTTAGGTCTAACTCACGTTCCAAAAGCTAGCTCATGAGGAGGTTTGTCCATATAAGGAGACAAATTTCCCATCCCCTCACCGATGTGGAACTTCTTAACACTCCCCCGCACGCCCAGACCTCAACTGGAGTGTGAACACTTCAAAATGGGAGCCCAACATCGGTGAACAAAAAATTGGGATGGGCCTGGTTTTGATACCATGTTAAATTAGGTCATAGGCCTAACTCGCACCCCAAAAGCTAGCTCAAAGGGAGGAGGATTGCCCAAGCCTTATAAAGAGTCCACCCATCTTATTAACCACCAATATGAAACTTTTTGCTTTAACACACCCTCTTGAATATCAATTGGTATCAAAGTAGCTCTCACATTCAAGTTGTTAACAACACGTCAGGCAAAGATCAAATGGTTACATATCAAATTCCCGGTGCTATTCTACAAGACGGTCACTCATCAAAGCAACCTCCATATTTCAATGGTCAACACTACTCTCACTGGAAGAAAAGGTTTAGAATATTTGTTCAATCAAGCGACTTCCAAGTATGGGTAGTGGTCAAGAAAGGACCAAAGCTTATTCCAGGAGTCAACCCAAAGGAGTCTACAAGCAACACTGATCTTGAAACCTTTGAAGTCACCAAGGAACAACAAGAGGTAATCCAAACTAATGCTAGAGCCATAAGTTTACTTTACTATGCAAAAAGCAGAGCAGAGTACGAAAATATATCCACATGTGACACTGCTAAAGAAATGTGGGACAAACTTGGAAGTCACATATGAAGGTACCTCCAAGGTCAAGGAAGCAAGAATCAGAGTATGAGCTATTCAAAATGATGGAGGAAGAAACTGTTGAATCCATCTTCTCCCGTTTCAGCAAGATTGTAGGAGAACTCAAATCGTTAGGAATGATTTACTCCAACGGACTACAAGTAAGAAAGTTAATCAGAAGCTTGGAAAGCCACCATTCTGGAAGAAGGAGATCTGGAAAATTTAACCTATGACAATCTACGAGGAAATCTCATGGCCTATGTGCAGAATCATATAAATAGACACATCAATGAAGAAAAAAGAAAACAGTTGCTTTCAAGGTTGTAGCTCACAACGATGAAGACGAAGATGATGAAGAAAGAAGTGAAGCTCTTGCATTAATAAATCAAGGAGTCAGACAGATCCTAAGGCAGAGGAAACAAAAACCGCAACAAGGATTTACAAACAATGAAAATCACAAAAATGACGATAGATTCTATCACTGTGGAAAAACTGGACATCAAACCAAACTGTCCAGAGCTCAAGAAAAATAATTATTGGAGAAATAACTATAAAAATCTTTGAGAGCCTGGAGTGATGAAGATGCAACTGATGACGTACACACTGAGATCGCCAACATCTGCTTCATGGCAATTGGTAAAACAGGTGAGGTACATCCTACCAACTGTCCAAATTGTTCTAACATTCAAGCTTCTGTAGATCTTGTAATTGATGATCTTCAAAAAATAATTGATGAATATAAGAAATTGGCCAAAGACAAGAAAGATTGGCAAATTCTTCTCGAGGAAAGTTAAATTGAAGTTGGCTTACTTGAAGAGGAGCTGGGTGACATTAAATGCAATTAAATAACATTAAGAAATCACCCAATCAGAGCTCAGTCAGATCAAATAATTCTTATTGAATTGTGTTGCCTCAAAATCACTCTTTCCATCCAAACTCCTCTGAAAAATCCTTGGCTGATTTTTTTCTCTGCAAAACCTTATTACTATTATAAACCTACATGTTTCTCATGTGGAGAAATTGGTCATAAATAGTTCAACTGTCAGTTCAAAAGGAATCTGTTTGGAAAATGGATTTGGAAACCAAAATTTTCAGGAGAAACAATATCTAACCATCAAGGACTCAAGAATGCTGGGGTACCTAGAAGAAACTGACTTATCCGTTTTGCAAGAACACACCAAGAAGTCACTCAAAAAGGGTATGTGGGTGAGTGGGTCACTGACAGCGGGTGGTCCAGGCACATGACAGAAAATAAAGAACATTTCAAATAAGTAAAAAGGATAGACAGTGGCTCTGTCAAATTCGGTGACAATGCAAAAGGGGAAGTTGTGGGAGTTGGAGCTATAACAATCAAGCCTTCATGTGATCTAATTGAAGTATATCTAGTAGATGGATTTAAGCATAATCTGTTGAGCACAAGTCAACTCTTTGAAGCAGGTTTTCAAGTATTGTTCGATGCAAGTAAGTGCACAATTCCAAATGCCGCAAAAAAATTACCATCATTGGCAATTGAGTCGAGAATATCCGGCAGTCATAAGAAGGAACTTAATCACTCAATCCAAGTACACCAAGGAACTCATTAAGAAATTCAGGATATGGAAAAAGGAAAAGCTTTTGGCACCGTATGAATTTATCCACTTGTCTAGAAACTAATGCGCCTAGAAAAGACGATGAAAAACTATATCGTGGAATGATTGCATCATTGCTCTATCTTACTGCCAATGGACCTGATATCATGTTCAGTGTGTGCAAGTGCGCCAGATGTCAATCCGCTCCAAGGGAATCCCATTTGACAGCAGTCAAAAGAATCATATGATATCACATCGGAACTCAGGATCACGGACTTTGATATCCTCATACTAACAATTTTGATGAAAGTTTTGGTACCAAAGTTGTACAATTTGATTCATCCATAGAGATGTAAATTTATAGTATAGAAAACTAAACTAACTAGCAATCAGATCCCTTGATTCTAGCAGATTTGAGAATCAAGGGATGATTTTATTTGATCTAATATCCTAACCTATTCAATAGCATATCAGATCTGATTCTGATTTTATAAGATCAATTTAAATCCTACAAAATCATATCTGATGAGACTTAGATATTTACAAATCAACACTCCCCCTCAAGTTGACATGTAAATATCTATCATGCCTAACTTGCTTACAAGAATTTCAATTTTTGGTTTAAACAAGCCTTTTGTGAAAATATTCCCAATTTGCTGATTTGTTGGGACGAAAGGCATGCACATATTTCCTTCTTCAATCTTCTCTTTTATGAAGTGCCTATCCACTTCAACATGCTTTGTTCTGTCATGTTGAACTGGATTGTGAGCAATGCTTATGGCGGCTTTGTTGTCACAATACAACTTCATTGGTAACACAAACAATTTTCCTAGTTCTTCCATCATCTTCTTGAGCCAAATCATTTCACAGATCCCATGGGCCATAGATTGGTATTCAGCTTCAGCACTGCTACAGGCTACGACATTCTGCTTTTTACTCTTCCAAGTTACAAGATTTCCCCAAATAAAAGTATAATATCCTGATGTAGACCTCCTATCAATAGTAGAACCTGCCCAATCTGCATCTGTAAAGCTTTCCAATGCCCCTATCTTGATCTTTTTTTTCCCGAGTGAACTTTTCAGATATCTTAGAATCCCGTAGACAGCTTCTTGGTG